GTGGCAATTATTGCCCTTATTTAAGGAAGGAAGGCAGAAAATGTTGTACATGCTGGTTACAGTGCATTTCTCTCTCAAATTCTGGGGAAAATGGGTCGTTCCAGACATTGTTCAGAAGAACAGCGTACCTTGATTAAAAAGTTGATTGGAGAGGGGAAAACATATAAAGAAGTGCAGAAAATGATAGGCTGCTCAGCTAAAATGATCGCAAATGCTTTAAAATGGCAACCAAAACCTGAAAGACATGGAAGAAAGCGAAAAACTACCATTCGAATGGATAGAATAGCCAAAATGGCTCGGACTCAGCCAACAATCGGCTCCAGGAAGATCAAAGAAGGTCTAAAGTTACCTGTGAGTACTGTTACAATTAGAAGACACCTATGTGAAGCCAAGCTATCTGCAAGAAGCCCCTGCAAAGTCCCACTGTTGACAAAAAGACGTGCTGAAGAGGTTACAATTTGCCAAAGAGCGCATTGACTGGCCTAAAGAGAAATGGCGCAACATTTTGTGGACTGATGAAAGTAAGATTGTTCTTTTTGGGTCTAGTGGCCGGACACAGTTTGTCAGACGACCCCCAAACACTGAATTCAAGCCACAGTACACTGTGAAGACAGTGAAGCATGGTTGTGCAAGCATCATGATATGGGGATGTTTCTCATACTACGGTGTTGGGCCTATTTATCGCATACCAGGGATCATGGATCAGTTTGAATACATCAGAATACTTGAAGAGGTCATGCTGCCTTATGCTGAAGAGGAAATGCCCTTGAAATGGGTGTTCCAACAAGACAACGACCCCAAACACACCAGTAAACGTGCAACATCTTGGTTCCAGACCAACAAGATTGACTTTATGGAGTGGCCAGCCCAATCCCCGGATCTTAATCCAATAGAAAACTTGTGGGGTGACATCAAAAATGCAGTTTCTGAGGCAAAACCAAGAAATAGAGAAGAACTGTGGAATGTAGTCCAATCATCCTGGGCTGGAATACCTGTTCACAGGTGCCAGAAGTTGGTTGACTTCATGCAACACAGATGTACAGCAGTTCTCAGAAACAGTGCTTATACAATATTAAGTGATTCAAAGGAAAGCAAAATCTTCACATTTTTCAGTTTATATAGTGAATGTTTGAGTTTGTAAAGATGAATACAAACACTGCTATTTTTTTGAACAGTCTAATATTCACTTTTCTTCAATTTTTTTTAGAGGAACAACACAAATTTGATATATTTTTCTTGATGTTTTGATTTGGAATAGAATGTGTAGTGTTCCCAATGCATTTGTGTGTATGGAAATAAAAACTATTAGAAGGATTTTGAGCTTTATTCACTTTTTTCAAACACTGCTATTATTTTGGACACAATTGTATATACAGGGCAGGGCAGTATGCACCCAGGGACAAGAGAAGCAGTCTGTGCTCCAAATGCATTTTGCCCATCATTTGGCAAAAATCAGAAACTGGATGGAGGTGACTTGGAAATGTGGAAGGCTGCCTGGAATAACAGCGTAAATCTAAGCTATTGTGGACCCACTTATTAAAGTGGCACTGCATCAGAGCACCACAAACCCAACATGCTGTTTAATTCATTGTTATTATTCAAAGCAAACTCCCCCCATCCATCCATGTCTCAATGCTTTAATTTGCTGAGAAATTACTTTGATTTCACCCCGTAGATTTCTGGCAGTAGCCATGTTGAGTAAGGGCAGATGATTCATGTAGCATTTACTTCCTGGAATCCATTTGCCCTTAGCTCAGGCATTTGCTGAGCTGATAATTCTCCCTCCTATCCTAAAGGCTACTATGATGTATAACATAATTTGCATAGGCATGGAAACCAGGAAGTAACTGAACAAATGTTAAAGTTTAAAACAAGTTAATATGATATAGTTTCCTATCTATTTACTGATGCTAGCAGCATAAGTATAAGAAAGAGTCCATGTTGATTGAGAGAGTAAAGTTCCGCTTTAAGTTAAAAGGGTCATGGAGGTCTGGTGGGTGCACAGTTTAAGTGTGAGCACCAATAGAGCATGGGATTTGTGTTTTGAGAAAGAGTGTTCTGTAGTCCATTAAGCACATTTTGGTGAAGCATATATTTAATAAGATTTGGATGAAGAAGCACTGGCTTTTTTTTAGAGACATTTATTTGTGGTTATATAATTTATATTCCAATAGGTTTTATTGAACAGTTTTTCAAATAACAGGTAATACAAATGAACAATGTCCTGTCAAAATATGTAGACTATAACAACATAAATAACAGTTTATTGGACATAAAACATTTAACAGGAGACTAAGAACGCTGTAGAGTAGTTATTGGATAATCTAGACCAAGGTCCACAACCCTTATCTACCATAAATAGGGGACTGGCACAATGGTACGGAAGGGAAGAGGGAGGAAACTCGGAAGGGAACCGGGAGAGGGGAAGGTAGGAAGGGTAGTGGGAGGGAAAGGGAAAGAACCATTCTTCATGGACCTGAAATTACACACAGAGTAATTGTCGTTTAAGGCAGGACAAATGTTGTAGAACATATAGGGATTGGGCATGATGCACCCTAATAAACAAAAGAGAGAATGATGAAGAATAGAGAAAAGCGAATAGAAAAAGAGGAAAGGGTCAAGTTGAGGGACATTAAGGCACATACATTTATTGAATCTGTGGTTATATAATTTAAAGGATAAGTTTACCTTTTGGGAACTTTTTACACGTTCCATCCATTTTTAGGGTGGAGCATGGAAAAATGTTCCCATAGTTGCAGCTGCCCCCCCTCCTGACAGTCAAATTTGAAAACCGTGCGGGACTCTGCCCACATGGCCGCATCACTCATTCAGACTTCTGTGAATGAATGAACTGAAAGTCCCAGCAGCCTTAGCGGCTGTCAGCTTGTTTTCAATGAACTACCACGGCGCCGTGGTAGTTCATTGAAGCTTCCTTTCAAAAAATCTGCTTGCTCATACATCCTGTACGGCAAGCAGATATTTTGACAGGTCTGCAGGAGACCTGCATGGCATCAGTGACCTACTGATTTCTGGTGCAATGCTTTCCAGGCTCCTGTAGACCAAAAAAAATAAATACACATTTTTTTTACCTGCAAAAAAATGTGCATTTATTATTTTTGTCTAAAAGGTGAATTTATCCTTTTAAGTATAAAGGACACATTGGGTAAACTTTGATTTTACTTTATGTTTTTTCGCTGGATACTTATCACAAGTGACTTGATCATTTATCACATATGTTTTTTCATGTTTTTCTTTGGTTATAGGAGCACAGTATTTATGTATATAAGGCGAGCACTGCGCTTTATTGTATTTATCACAAAATATCTATTATCCACTTAGATAAGGGGCTATATGGTTGACAGTGCTAGCAGCGTCCAAGAAGTAGGAACACCACAGTATTAGTATAGGTGCAGGATCTTTGTAGTTTTTCACCTATCAGAGTTTGACAGACTGCCAGCAGCAGGGCCGGACGGTGTGCCTATGCCCACTGGCCGGGGCTAAACGCCCAGTATGTAGGAGGCTCAAAATGTATCCTCACTTGAGTATCTGATCCTTTCACACAGGCGTCATCAGTTCACTTATGTGATTACTGATTAAGGTTACATCAGTCTTCATTAGTTTGCACATCCATCTTCAGTTCCATTTACATGTGTTTATGTAAAAAAAAAAAACAGAAAAAGATGCAGACCTTTTCAATTTTTTTCTGTGGACTTAAACTGACTCGGATGTAAGTGAATGTACAAAAATCCTTTTTTTTGCAATCTTTTCTCCACATATACAGAATTCAGAGCAGCAAGCAAAAATGTGACTAGCATATTAAAGTTTACAGTCCAGTTTGTTGCAGTGTGTTGTGTTAAGGCAGGCTATTCATTATGGATAAGCTGCGAAAGCAGTGAAAGGAACCAAAAACACATGACCTTTTTTTTTTTTTTCCACCACAACTCTCAGGTGTGTGTGTTTTGGGGTTTACTGCCATACACCGACTACTACTGTACAGTGCGTTGGGGTACCGCTCTGGACAAAGTGATGGTTTTACATACTGTCGCCAGTCAGTGTCCGTGATCACCTCCTCACCGGTTATATGATGATGTTGTACTGCATTGGTGACAGTATGTTTAAAAAAAAAAAAAGAAAAAGTAAAAAAAAAACCCACATTTTAATTTCTTTATTTTCCAACAAAATTCCAAAAAGGGGTCATTTGAGATTGATGTGCAATCAATAACTTTACCACAGACTAAATAATATACACTAATTTAGGTTATTTTTTTCCAAAGAAATGTAGCTGAATACATTTTGGCCTAAATGTATGAAAGATTATTTATTTGCAAAATTTTAGAACAGAAACAAAGAAAAACACATTTTTTTTTTTCCAATTGTTTATTTTATTTAGAAAAAATAAAAAATCCAGTGGTGATTAAATACCACCAAAAGAAAGCTCCATCTGTCTAAAAAAAAAAAAAAAAAAGATAAACCTTTCATTTTCATTTTGTACAGTGTTGCATGCCTGAGTAATTTTTTATTCAAAGTGAGAGAGCACTAAAATCGGAAAATTGACCTGGGCAGGAAGGGGGTGAAAGTGTTCAGTATTAAGGTGGTTAAAGACCATTCCCTGACTCAATTCCCTGTGATTTCCCATTATTACATTACTTTTCTGCCCTAGTCCCAGCACAGAGCTTACACAGGGTTAATGGCAAGTGACAATGTTTGGGCCTGCTGATTGGCCACCAGGTGTGAGAACTTCATCAGAGGAGAAGGTCTCATGCCCACCCCAAACCTGAAAGCTTCGGCTATTTCATTTGAAAAATCACTATCATCTTCTTCATACAGAAAGGTTCAGAATGTATTTCTTACAAAAAAAAAGGAAGTCCTATAAACATTCAGTTAGGGAAAACAGATGCTTCCTGCTTTGTGCTGCATGCTGTAACTTATTAAATCATATTGAATTTTTGCTGTGTTAGAATTTTTATTTATAGAGCATTCTTTCTCTACCTCCTCCACAGGTTTCCACTGACTAGACCTCTCCTGTGTAAGAAATGGGAAGCTGCAGTTAGGAGGGCAGACTTTAAGCCTACTAAATATAGTAGTATCTGCTCTGACCACTTCACGCCAGATTGCTTTAAAAGAGCCTGCAATAATAAACTTCTGAAGGACAACGCAGTTCCAACTGTGTTCTCTTACACAGAGAAGCCATCAGTAAGTTAACACTTTTGCACTGTCATAACTGATTTGTTTTATTTATCTGAGTTGGCTAATAGAGAGAATATTATTTAATAGAGAGTTTGAGGGTTTATTAAGATCTCTGTGTTGTGGTAACGCGGCATAAGAAACATGTTACTTAAGTGAACGTACAGTTGTAAGTTACAGTGCCATGTATTTTTAATAGCATACAACACATTAATACAGTTCAACCCTGATGCCAGTGTGTTTTGATTTTTACAAATGGACTTTAGATTGTAAGATCCTTGAAGGCAGGGACTGATGTGACTGAATAATATACAGTGGGGAACATACATATTTGATCCCCTGCAGATTTTGTAAGTTTGCCCACTTACAAAGAAATGAAGGGTTTATAATTTTTATCATAGGAATATTTTAAATGATAGAGACAGAATGTCCACCAAAATCCAGAATATACGCATGATATAAATGCTATAAATTGAGTTGCAGTTCAGTTTGTAAAATAAGTATTTGATCCCTATGCAAAACGTGACTTCGTACTTGGTGGATAAACCCTTGTTGGCAAGCACAGAGGTAAGATGTTTCTTGTAGTTGGTTCCCAGGGTTGCACACATCTCAGGAGGGATTTTGGTCCACTCTTCTTTACAGATCTTCTCTAAATCCTTAAGGTTTCTTGGCTGTTGCTTGGCAACTTGTAGTTTCAGCTCCCTCAATAAATTTTCTATAGGATTAAGGTCTGGAGACTGGCTAGGCCACTCCATGACCTTAATGTGCTGCTTCGTGAGCCACTGTTTTGTTGCATTGGCGGTATGTTTTGGGTCATTGTCATGCTGGAACACCTATCAAAGACCCAACTTCAGTGTTCTGGCTGAGGGAAGAAGGTCCAAATCCAAGATTTTACAATACATGGGCCCCGTCCATTGTCCCCTCAATGCAGCAAAGTCAGCCTATACCTTTAGCAGTGAAACAGCCCCAGAGGCATAATGTTTCTCCCACCGTGCTTGACTGCAGGGATGGTGCTCTTGGGTCATAGTCAGCATTTTTCTTCCTCCAAACACAGCAAGTCGTGGTAATGCCAAAGAGCTCAATTTTGATCTCATCTGACCACAGCACTTTCTCCCAATCCTTCTCTGAAATATTTCGATGTTCATTGGCAAACTTCAGACAGTGTGTACATGTGCCTTTTTGCAGAACCTTGTGGGTGCTGCTGTGTTTCAAGCCCTGGCAGCGTATTGTGTTACCAATGGTTTGCTTGGTGACTGTAGTCCCAACTGCTCCACCTGTGTAGCTCTAGGCTGATTCCTCACTTTTCTCGTGATCATCCTTACCCCATGAGGCGAAATCTTGCATGGAGCTCCAGACCTTCTCTCCTTCTCACCAAGCTTGTTGTTGATGGTCTTGTAGCCCACTCAAGCCGTCTGCAGTCTTATCTTTGCCATCCTTTGACAGCTCTTTGGTCTTGCCCATGAGGTTTGAAAGGAAGAAAGAGATTCTGTGGACAGGTGTCTTTTATACAAGTAAAAAGTTGTCTTTGGAGCACCTTCTTATATTGACAAGACTAATCTATGTACCACATGAGCACATAGCCAGTCTGTGGGAGCCAGAATTATTGTTGGTTGGTAGGAGATCAAATACTTATTTTACTTACTGAACTCCAACTCAATTTATAACATTTGTATCATGTAGTTTTTTTCTGGATTTTTGGTTGATATTCTGTCTCTATCATTTAAAATACACCTGTGAAAATAATTTATATTATTATTATACAGGATTTATATAGCGCCAACAGTTTGCTCAGCGCTTTACAATATAACAATACAGTTCAATGCAAGAGGGTTAGGAGGGCCCTGCTCCTTGGAGCTTACAATCTATAGACCCTTCATTTCTTTATAAGTGGGCAAACTTACAAAATCTGCAGGGGATCAAATAATTATTTTCCCCACTGTATATATAAAGTGCTGCATAAACTGATGGTGCTATATAAGTACCTGTAATAAACAAATATATTTTGCAAGGTTATGTGACTTGCTGTGTATTTTTCCTCAGTCCTCTACCAGCAGTGGGTGGTTCATGATGATGTAGAGAGCCTGGCTAACTTGATGACATAATCCGCATTCTGCGTCAAAACGCTGAGTACAGGTCACCATGCTCAGAAGGGAGAGCCATGACACGCTGCATTCACAGTCTTACCTCTTTCTACTGAGCTGAGTGATGTTGGGTGTCATCAGCCCAGAAGCTTGGGGTCATCTTGTGGTGAACAGACATAGACTGCTTGGGGGACATTTAAAAAAAAAAAAAAAGAGCCCATGCTGAACTATAGGATGTTAATGTTGGTTTATTAATGCACCACAACAGTGTAGAAATGTGAATGGGCCCTGAAGTCCAGGAAGAAAAAGGAGTAGTAGCTTTGAGGAGGGTGTGCAACTATTCATCTTTGCAAACTGTTGACTTTTGCATGTGTTTTAACCTGATTTACCTGGTGTTGGGCATTTACAGCTGTGATATGACCAAAGATGGATCGTTTTTTTTTTTTGTCCAAAAAAATAAATATTGGAAGGCTCACTAAATAAATTTTGAGTACCAGCTGGGACAATAGATTGCAGTGTAAAACTCACTCCTGCTGGTAAAGCTGATGATTTTCTGCTACAGGCCAAACTGTCCAGCAAAATTGGCAATGAGAGGGGTTGAGACAAAGGGATTGATTTACTAAAATTGGAGAGTGCAAAACCTGGTGCAGCTGTGCATGGTAGCCAATCTAATTGCAGCTTGTTTAATTAAGCCTTTGACAAAAAAACCTGGAAGCTGATTGGTTTCTATGCAAAGTTGCACCAGATTATGCACTCTTCAGTTTTAGTAAATCAACCCCAAAGCATTTAAAGTGATTCTACAAGCAGAAGGTTTTTTTACCTTCATACATTGTTTGTTTGCATGAAGGTACAAAACCTGTGTGCCACAGCCCCCCCAATACTTACTTGAGCCCCATCACAATCCAGTGATGTGCAAGAGGACCTTGGCTCTCCATGGACTCTCCCTCCTCATTGACTCCCGCTGCTGTCAATCACAGCCAAAGAGGAGAGAGTAGGGGTGGGGCCAAGCCGGGACTCTGTGTGTGTGAATGGACACGCAGAGCAGCGGCTCAGGAGCAAGCCTGCTTGGATGCCCTCATAGTAAGCTGCTTGCTCTGTAGGCACTTAGGAAGAAGGAGGGGCCAGAACGCCAGCGGGGGACCCAAGAAGAGGAGGATCAGAACAGCTTTGTGCAAAACCACTGCACAGAGCACGTAAATATGACATGTTTGTTATTTAAAAAAAAAATGCCTTTAATATTGTCAGGTGAGCACTGTAAGCACACATTTTTATTCATGTGGTTTAAGGCAGGGCTCAAAATTTCAAGTCCTGAGCTACTAGCCAGGCCTTAGGAGTTACTACTCACCACCAGTTGCTCCACCCAACCGCTACCCTGCCATGCCCCTAATCCCTCCCTTAAACATACCCTCGTAAATTCTCTCATTAAATTACACTGTTAAATGTTTTATGCAGAATACAGTTACAGAAATAAATATATACCCTCCTTCACCCCCCCCCCCCCCCCCATAGCCTTGTCCTCTACCCTTTTTTCAAAAAAAAGAAGGGGTTGTTGTGAGAGAGAGAGAAGGGGGTGAGAGAAAAAGAGAGGGGGGTGAAGGGGGCAAAAAAGGGGGATGATTGGTATTTCTGCTACTCATTATTATGGCACCATCCCCCCATAAGTTGAGGTAATAATGAGCTCACAACCCCCCTCTTAGAACACATGGTCTCCATTATGGTACAATGCGCCCCCCCAGAACACACACAGGGCCCCCTACTACATAAAGTGAATACAGAGCCACCACACACACACACACACACATTTAGTCAGCCACCAATTGTGCAAGTTCTCCCACTTAAAAAGATGAGAGAGGCCTGTAATTGGCATCATAGGTAGAGCTCAACTATGAGAGACAAAATGAGAAAAAAAATCCAGACAATCACATTGGCTGATTTGGAAAGAATTTATTTGCAAATTATGGTGGAAAATAAGTATTTGGTCAATATCAAAAGTTCATCTCAATACTTTGTTATATATCCTTTGTTGGCAATGACAGAGGTCAAACGTTTCCTGTAAGTCTTCACAAGGTTGGCACACACTGTTGCTGGTATGTTGGCCCATTCCTCCATGCAGATCTCCTCTAGAGCAGTGATGTTTTGGGGCTGTCGCTGGGCAACACGGACTTTCAACTCCCTCCAAAGGTTTTCTATGGTGTTGAGATCTGGAGACTGGGCCACTCCAGGACCTTGAGAATGCTTCTTACAAAGCCACTCCTTCGATGCCTTCGGTATGTTTGGGATCATTGTCATATTGGAAGACCCAGCCACGTTTCATCTTCAATGCCCTTGCTGATGGAAGGAGGTTTGCACTCAAAGTCTCACGATACATGGCCCCATTCATTCTGTCCTGTACATGGATCAGTTGTCTTGGTCCCTTTGGGGAGAAACAGCCCCAAAGCATGATGTTGCCACCCCCATGCTTCACAGTAGGTATGGTGTTCTTTAGATGCAACTCAGCATTCTCTCTCCTCCAAACACGACGAGTTGTGTTTTCTACCAAACAGTTCTATTTTGGTTTCACCTGACGATATGACATTCTTCCAATCCTCTTCTGGATCATCCAAATGCTCTCTAGCAAACTTCAGACGGGCCCGGACATGTACTGGCTTAAGCAGGGGGACACGTCTGGCACTGCAGGATCTGAGTCCCTGGCGGTGTAGTGTGTTACTGATGGTAGCCTTTGTTATGTTGGTCCCAGCTCTCTGCAGGTCATTCACTAGGTCCCCCCGTGTGGTCCTGGGATTTTTGCTCACCGTTCTTGTGATCCTTTTGACCCCACGGGGAGAGAGATCTTGCGTGGAGCCCCAGATCGAGGGAGATTATCAGTGGTCTTGTATGTCTTCCATTTTCTAATTATTGCTCCCACAGTTGATTTGTTCACACCAAGCTTCTTGCCTATTGCAGATTCAGTCTTCCCAGCCTGGTGCAGGTCTACAATTTTGTTTCTGGTGTCCTTCGACAGCTCTTTGGTCTTCACCATAGTGGAGTTTGGAGTGTGACTGTTTGAGGTTGTGGACAGGTGTCTTTTATACTGATAACAAGTTCAAACAGGTGCCATTGATACAGGTAATAAGTGCAGGACAGAGGAGCCTCTTAAAGAAGAAGTACAGGTCTGTGAGAGCCAGAAATCTTGCTTGTTTGTAGGTGACCAAATACTTATTTTCCACCATAATTTGCAAATAAATTCTTTCCAAATCAGCCAATGTGATTGTCTGGATTTGTTTTCTCATTTTGTCTCTCATAGTTGAGGTCTACCTATGATGCCAATTACAGGCCTCGCTCATCTTTTTAAGTGAGAGAACTTGCACAATTGGTGGCTGACTAAATTTTTTGCCCCACTGTACATACATACATACATACATACAGTACACATACATACATACATACATATATATACATACACACACACTCATACATACACAGACACTTACGCACACATACATACATACACACAGACAAGCACACACACACAGACACACACACGTCTCCCCCTCTGGCTCTCTCAGCCTGTCACACTCCGTTTCTAAGCACTCCTGTCAGACATTTCTTCCCCTTCCTCCCACTGTTACATACTGAGTTCTCACCAGTCTGTGGATTCTCCTCCTCCTTGGGCTCTGGACTCGTAGCATGCTTGCACAATCCACCCTGCAGGAGCCTGTCATAGGACCTCCTAAGGACTCTAGGCCCTTGGGTAGTGTGTGAGTGCCTAAATGCCTGAAAGCTTATTCCACCTCTGGTGCCGGCACCCCGCTCCACATCCATTGGCTGTTTGATCGAGCTGGCCCTCGTCACCATGTAATTTCTACTCGCGAAATGCGAGCAGGCGAGTGGAAATTTCAAGGCCTGGTTTAAGGTATAACCCTATTTTTTTACACATTTCAGCAGCAGAGGTCCATACTTTCATTACATGCTGCTTCTCTCTCTTCTAAAGCTTGCCTTGGTTCCTTTTTTTTTGTCAGATTCTACTGTTACTGTCCCTGCTTTCCTGTGTTCAGGTGTCTCCTTGTATTAGCAGATTGGAAAGTTTTTTTTTTTCTCTTGGTCAGCACCGCCAGCAGTCTCAATAATTCAGCGGGAGGGATTCCCCCATCCACATCAGTTTTGTGAATTGGGGAGTCGAGTAATTTTCTTTTGTTCGAATCACTGATTGAATGAAAAAAAATTGTTCCTGTATGGTCAGCCCAATGACTTCACTGCAGAATGAACAGCATTGTCATCCTCTTACATGAAGTGGGGAAAATTAATGAATCTACTGGCACATTCAACAGGCAATTAAACTATGTTACATAGATGATTTCTTTGCTAATGCTAACAGATTTTATCATGTATGTCATTTTTTATTTTGCCCACAGTTACACTTCAAATGTAAATGCAATTATGCGATCAACATTAGAAGGTACCCAGTTTTCACTATGCAAAAACTACTCTGTCTCAGTAGGGCTCATCACAGATAAGGACCGAAAGTCCTAAAATACTGTAGTATTAAAGCAACTCCTGGAAGTTCCTGAATTTTCCTTTTTTTTTTTTTTTTTTTGCCCCAACTTTTTGTAATCCCATTTAAAGCAGCAGTGGGATTGGTAGAGTTGGCACTGTAAGCTGGTCAGTGTGCTCACTGTGAACATGCTGACAGAAGAAAATAGCAGGTATGTTTACTGTGAGACAGATTCTTTGATATTAGGCCAGGGATGGTTCCTTGGCTCAAAATGAAAATACATTAGTGTCCCTTTTGTGAATTTACGTTAAACCTTGCTACGGTTTCTAACCAAATCAAAATCTTCTTAAAATGTATAGCTAATGGCAAATGCCAACTGAATTTCCTATTGTGTCATTGACTTCTTTAAAGTTTTCCTCTGGCTCCTAGACTTTCTTTTCCTTTGTTTTATTGTGTTGCAGTTCTAGGAAACTTGTATTCATTGTATGACTGAATCCTATATTGAAAAAAAAAACTTTTTTTTTTTTTTTTTTTTTTAATGTAGAGTGCGAACTCTGTGAAAAAGGAGGAGCAAAATACACCTCCACCTCCTTCTGTTCCTGAGTTGGACCCTGCCATTGGATTATTGCTGCCACCTCCATACACGCCCAGTCATATAGCAGTGATCTGTGATCACAATTACACAGTAGAAGATACAGTTCATCAGAGAAGGAGGATACAACAGTTGGAAGAGCAGGTTGACAAACTCAGGAAAAAGCTCCGAATTGCAAATCAGAGGTGCAGGAGACAAGAACGCAGCCTGGAAAAACTTGAAAAAGAAGTTTCTGATTACAGAAATGGAGCTGGTATCGTGCTTCTCCCCAGCAATTATTTTGAACTTTATAATGAAAGTGAAACTGAAGCAACTGAAACCCAAACAATTATCATCTGATTCTTTAACTTGTTTATTTGATAAGAATATTGGAGACATGACATGCAAATCCAAAAAATGTAGCTCATCTTTTGCTTTTTAGAAGTTCTGATATGTTTTAGTAAATTGGAGTAGATCAATGCCAGTTTTGTAAAGATTACATGTTGGTATGTCAACACTTGTCATTTCATTAATATGTGGCAAACAGATTTTTTTTTTCTTTCTTTTTGAACTTCATAAACATGACATAAATAGGTGCTTAAATATGTCATTCTTGCACTCTTAAATAACAAGGAAAACAAGTTTTATGTTCAATTGAAGTCATTTAAAATTTGAAATGTTCATTATGAGTATGCTTCCAAGGTTAGGGAGTAGGTATTTAGCCATCATGCTTCTGTTTACCAGCAGTCATAGCAATGAAAATTCTCAGAGAAAACTAAATTTTGTATATCTGCTCATAAACAAACCACAATCACCTAGCTTCATTTTATAGCCTTATCTACATTGGGGCTAACATAGAAAAACTGGAAACCATAATGCATAAGTCCTATGCTCCACCATCCTTTATCCCTTCCCTTTCTCTAACTACTTGCAGCGTTTAAAAAAAAAAAAAGTATTTGCCAGTGATGGGCTTTTAAGCTTTGTTTTTTTACACCTTCATTTGAAACATGAAAGCTGGGCCATAAGTGGCTGCTTTGATTCTCTTTACTTCGCTTTTCAAATGTCCTTTCACATCAAAAGAACACTGTATGGTAAGGGTATAATAATTGCGTATCTAACAATTTCTAATTGTTATGGTCAATACACTTATGAGGATGTATCAAAACTAATGCAATCTTTTCTTCTAAAGCAAAAGATTCCATTTGGAAATTGCTGTGCATGTAATATTTCACAACTGTTGTCTAGTTCTAAAGTTCAAAATGTATGTATATTTTGTTTCAGGTGATCTCTGTTTTCTAAAGTTGGTATAGGTGCAAATTCCCATATCAAGCATAAAAAAATTTTAATCTTTGCATCTTTCTCATAGGAGTGAAAAATTGGACATGTTTTTCTGTTTTTGTAAACCCCCAAGTTCAAGAATAAAATGTATAACAGCTTTGTATATGGGATAAAATTCTTCAAATTGTATAGTGGCTCTGCAGCATATTTCCATTTAAGTCTGCATTTTGTTCAGTTATGTAGACTGACCTAGTTAACTTTTTTTCGTTGGACAAATGTTGGTTATTTTTTTTAGGTATTCAGACAATAAATCTAGCAGTGTAAATATATATATTTTGTTGTCCATATCCTTTTTTGTATTGCCTGCTTCTCTTCCTGCCATTATGAAAAAAGGGGGGGGGGGAGCACAATACATCTGTGAAAACGAGACTGCCTCGTAAGTGTCTTATACTTCTTGTTGGGAATATATGCTGTTAATTTCAGAAGAATATAGGTACACAGCAAAAAATATCATACAGTAGCTTGTATAGTACAATACAAAAAACTATTCTATACCATTGTAAATTGGAATATATAGCATTTAGCAGAATTTATGGGGATTTTGCAATATAAAGTTTCCATATGTTCTTTTCTGAAAATGTAAATACACTTTGCTAATTTAAATCCATGCCTATTTGAGAGCAGGAAATACACACTAAATGTGGAAAACACAGAAATTTGGTATCCCTGTAATCAGGACAAAAAAAACGTAGAAAATGGAGCCTGTTTTTAAAGGCTTGATTGGGAAATTAGCTCAGTGAATTGGTGCTATACACACTTGGGATATTTGACAGCCTTCTCTTGCCTGCCACATTCACCCTGTGTTACATAGGATGAATGTGGCAGAAAGTAAACAGCCATTGAATGACACAGATACAGCTTTTAAAGCCAAATCCCAGGTATGAATTTTATTGCATAATTTCATTGGTCTATCTTGGACCAATGTAAATATGCATATCTTATATGTGCATGGAACTGACGTGGAAGCAGAGGAACACTAGTGCCACTACCGGCCTGGAGTCTGCATATTCTCCCTGTGCCTGCGTGGGTTTCTTCCGGGTACTTCAGTCTCCTCCCACACTCCAAAGACATGCTGGTAGGTTAATTGACTCCGGTTTTGAGTGTCCCTAGTATGTGTATGTATGAATGTGAGTTAGGGACCTTAGATTGTACACTCCTTGAGGGTTAGGGACTGATGTAAATGTATAATATACTGTATGTAAAGTACTGCGCAAATTGATGACGCTATATAAGTACTTGTTGTTGTTGTTGTAATAATAATGATAGTCTCCACTACTTCAGTGATTGTCATGGTCTTCCGGGTCCTGTGTTATGGTTGCTTGTTCAACACAGGAGCCTTACATTTTTCTCAAGGAATGCAACTTCCTGATCTTCAACTCATCCAATTGAAGGCGTCTTTGTATTCATTGAACTAAAATGCTAGGTGTTCTGTGAATGGTGCTCATGCCACGTGTAACTATGCAATAAAATCCGTATCTGGAATTCCGCTTTAAGGCATGGCAAATATGCCATTTTAAATTTTCCATAGGCTGAAACTGTTGTTGGATTATTTATTTTTTTTTAACATAAAAACACAAATTCTGCTAATATTGACCTTCCAGATTCCAGTGTCCAAAACTACTACAATGGGTATCTTTTATTGGCAGAATACCTGCTGAACTGGAAAAATTTTGATCTATGTGTGGCCCACTTTAGACATCCTACTTTCCTTTGTAGATAAATAGGTGATCAGATAATTACATTTGCTCTACACTTTGTACTACAGGAAATATATCCCCAAATGCACCCACTGGAGGCTAGTGCACAAAAACACAACGTAATACTCAATGTTATAGTAATATATAAAAGAAGATGTTTCACCGAGTAAATAGATACCAAACATGTCAAGATTTACAATTATGCCTGTGAAATGGCAACAAACTACCATACCTAAAATTATCCATAGGGTATGCTTTAAAAGCCTTTACAAGTTTACAGTTTAGAGTTAAACGTGAGCTCTGTAAAAGCTATGAAGCTGCTTGGATCACTTTCACCATATAGCCAATCACCAGCTGTAAAAATTGATACCAGGACATACAGTATATCTATATGTATGCTGTATGGGAAGTGCTTAAGGGAAAAGATTTGACTCAGGCAAACTTCAGGCTCAAATAGTATCAAAGACACCAAACTAAATATACAGTACGTCAGCTACTTTATGTGTAATCATTGCCAGAAAGCAAAAGTAGCTAGTGACGCAAATAGCTATTCTTATTTAAATGAACTGAGCTCAGAGAGCACTCTAGTGGCACTGCAAAAGATGAGTCATGGGAAATAGGAGGACATCCAAGTGTGTTAGCATCTGTATCAAGAGGTCAAAATGAATATGAATACCAGCAAGACATACATCTTTTTATACAAATGACCTTCAATCAATAAAAGTAACAAGTCTCCATTCATTTGTACTCATCTGCCTTGATGCAGAAAGAGGATCATACGAACAATAACCTTCAAACCAGTCCGAGCTTACCATTTATTAGGTTTTTATTGCTCTCTGTGTCCCCGTAATGGAGATGCACCCTCTCTATTTGTCCTGTTTACCATTATCATTGAAAGTAAAAGAAAATCACAAATTTTGGGTTGTCTCTAGAAAAGTAAGAGGGGAAATCTTCCAATGGGGACACTAGTTCTGTTGAACCTGGTGATTTCCTCTCACTTCCTGTTTTGATTATGGGACAGGATGTGAAGATAGGGGTTATATCTCTCCCATTACTCTATCCTAAATGAAAAAGTTTTGCCTATAGTTCTACTTTAAAGTGTTACTAAACCCAGGACTCTGCATTCACTATATCTGGTCTCCCACAGTACACAGAACATGGAAATGCAATTATTTAGTAAAAATAAACTGCTAAATACCATTTCTCTTCAGCAGTATACAGCAGTCTTGTGACTTATTTTGGTGTTCAGAAGAGCACTGGTTAAAGCTTGTAGGAGTTTGTTTTCTGCTCTAGGAGTATGCAGAGCCCCTGACCTCTGTCTCTACAGTGTTAATTGGCTCTGTGCTGATCACATGCATTCTCCAAAGAAAAATAAACCTCTCTAGCAATGCACACCAAACTGAGCATGGTCAGAGTGTCTCCACACGATAGGTGTTATCAGGAGATAAGAGGGAGGCACTGGAAGAAGGGGAGGATCAGAGAAGTCAGGATCAAACATAATTTTTACACAATGCAGAGGATTAACCCCTTAGATTCTACAGTGAGTATAACTGCATGCTTTACTGCATATACAGACTGATTTTACTGATGTGGGTTTAGTAACACTCTGAAATGTTAAAGCTTTGTCTGTCAGAGCAGAAATGAATTTGGCTGTGGTAGGAGCATTTGGAAGGCATGACAAGGCAAACATGTTTAAAACATCACATCAGTCACATCACAAATTTCTTTACAGCCTAATACAAAAGGCAAAAATGTATATATTGTAGGTTAACAGTTTTTAGATGTGGTGGCTGCATCACTTTTCTTTGGCATTTCTTTTACAGTATTTTTCACCTGGTGATCTGGACAGTAACATACTGCCCGTCTTATGGTGGCAACACACTTCTACACTGTATCTGTGGAGGAGCAATGTAGCCACCCTTGGACAGCAGCATTGTCAACCTGTGGGGAGGGTATTAGATGTACTAGTAGATTTAAACAGACCTTACATAAGTGACAAACAAATTAAAGCGGAACTCTACCTAACAATTTCTAAGCAATTACAGTAACATGTAGGATAAATTTTAACCACTTGCCTACCAGGCACTTATTTATTTCAGGTACTTATATAGCGCTGTCAATTTACGCAGCACTTTACATATATATTGTACATTCACATCAGTCCCTAACCCTCAAGGGGTGTACAATCTAAAGTCCCTAACTCACATTCATACATACACATACTAGGGCCAATTTAGACAGAAGCCAATTAACCTACCAGCATGTCTTTGGAGTGTGGGAGGAAACTGGAGTACCCGGAGGAAACCCACGCAGTCACAGGGAGAA